CATAAGATTCATTCCTTTGCCCTCAAAGCTCATCATCATGGTGGTTCTTTGACTAGTTCTTCCTCGAAGTGCTCAGCTCGTACAAGGGCACGCGCATGGAGTGGTATATTATTATTCTGATCGCCGCCGAGCTCGCGATCAGCGCGTACGAGCTCGCGATGAAGCTGCATTAAAAGCCCCCGTCTGCCGATTCACGTTAGCACTATGCGTCCATGCGGAGCGCGAGCGATATACCATTTTGTGCCAAAAGGAAATACTTAGACCCGTGTTGTGAATGGCTTGATTGACTAGCTAGTACGAGTACAGGTTACTGTTATCGCATGAAACTGGCTCGTACAGGCTACGAGACGAACGAGACCAGGCGAGTCGTATGCGCTGATAGCTAGCTACGTGTCCTTTGCCTTCCACTGCGCGTGCTCATGCGGTGCCTTGCGCGTGGTAAAGTTGGACGCGGGTTCGCGGCCGCCGCTGTTGACGTGCTGCCAGTACTTGTTGAACGAGACAAAGTCGGCGCAGCTCACGTCAATCGCTTTCGTGCGCAGCATCGACGCCAAGAGCGCGCGCACCGCAGATGCGTCCGTGACGTACTCGGCCGGCAAGTGCATGATCTTCATCGCGTGGTAGACATGCGAAAAGACGCGGCAGAGCTGGAGAAGCGCCGAGCCACACGTGTGCGTTGGCGCAATGTTCTTGTACTCGTACCTGCAAACATGGATGAAAATGCCCTACAAGACATGGCGCATCCATACCGAATCGCTACGATATGGATGCGCGTCGAGGTCGGCAGCGCGGTCAGATCCACGTGGAAGGGCAAGACCGCCTTGCCGTTGCTCCGGGTCCCCTGGTTTCGCTCAGCGCCTCGACGATCAAAAGAAGGCGGTGGCCATCGGTACCTCGGCGAAGACGACGACAGGACCCGACGCGCGGCCAAGGACATCGGCAAGCTTGACGGGCTTCGTGCACAGGGCATGAGATGGCGGGTCAAGGAAGAAAGGTCGTACCGACGACAGCGAGCTCAACGGCGGCGACATGGCCTGGCGAAGCGCGCCAAAGACAGTGCACGATTGCACGAGGCCCTGCGAGAGACCTCATGAGCTCAAACAAATAGCTGGTGAATGGATGGATATGCTTACCTTGGCGCTGCTTTCCTTTTCGCACGGAAACACAAACGTCGGCGAGTAGCGGAAGGCGAGGTAGAGCACGTCAAAGACGCTCGAGTGGTTGCACACAACGAGGTCGCCAGCCGCGACGCCGCGAAGCGACGGCGTCTTGAAGCCAGGCGGGCTACGTATCCACGAGTCCATGAGCGCATGAAGGTGATGACGTCCAAGCATACAGCAGGCCCAGGCGGCGGACGTTGGCATCTTCCTCCTTGACAAACATGGTCGTCACGACAAGGATGAGACCGACGCAGACCCAGTCGACGACCCGATGGATGAGCCGGCCAATCAGCGGAATGTAGCCCTAACATCGGCGCGTGTGAGCTAACGAGGCCATGCGGATGGACGTCGCACGAGGAGCAGCGCAATGAGCTCGAGGAGCGACCAGAGCAACAGCAGTGGGAGGAGGAGGACCCAGCGGGCGAGCGCGACGACGCCACCGACGAGGATCTGGCCCCAGCGCAGGACGACGTTGGATGGAAGCTTGTGGGGCGGAGGCACGAATGGGTTGATCCCGGTCGTCAAGTCGGACCAGCGGTTGTACTTCTCCATGATGGCGCTAGTGTGGGAGTGCGACAATTTTCGGCATTTTGACGACAGTATGCCGAATTTAGCGGGGTGTCTCCACGAGTGTGCTTGCTTGTGCTAACACCCGCATGCTCGTGCAAGCACGTCACAGCTTGTGGGGTCATTGTAATTTATGGTCGAGAGTACATGAGTAGGGTCGGCTATAGGAGAACGTCGCTTGATCGGTCGTTCGTTTCTTCCGTGCCGCAGACGTGGCATTCAAATGGCAAAGTGGCAGATGCCGAAAGATCGAACCCACTTTAGATTGGCCAAAAGCCGCGTATTTTGACCAATGGCCTTTGACGAACGATTTCGGCTAGGTGCGGCCTTCCATTCCAGCAAGCCAAGAACGAACGGACCATGGCGGTGACGGGGAAGCGTGGCGTGGGTATCCCGACTATCTTGCTCCATGATGGCGAAGGTACGATCGTGACGGTCGAGCTCAAGAACGGCGATCTCTACCGTGGCTTCCTCGACGAGACGGAGGACAACATGAACTGCGTGCTCAAGGACGCGTACCGGACCGATATCCGTGGCATGCAATCGCACTGCGACCAAGTGTACCTGCGCGGGTCGCAGATCCTCTTTATCATCTTCCCAGACATGCTCAAGCACGCGCCATTCTTCAAACGCGTCAAGCTATGGAAGAAGCACAAAGGCTC